GTGTCTGTTTAGAATTTGATATAAAGAAGGGTTATTCAATCATTCAGACATTCACTTGCTTTGTTGATCAGGTAAAACTTCTTCCTTCATCTTGAAGACCTCTTGGGAAAATATTGTTCCTTTACAGGTGGTTTGGGACAATGATGAACAACTATAAGTTGGGTGTGGAAATTGTAGGTGCCCATGATCTCATGCCAAAGGATGGGCAGGGTTCGGCCAGTGCCTGTGTGGAGCTTCAGTTTGATGGCCAGAAATTCCGTACCACTGTGAAGGAGAAGGACCTGAACCCAATCTGGAATGAACAATTCTACTTCAATGTCACTGACCCTGCTTTCCTCCCTGAGCTCGCACTTGAAGCTTATGTGTACAATATTAACAAAGCCACGCATTCCAAATCCTTCCTTGGAAAAGTTCGGCTTGCTGGGACGTCATTTGTCCCCTACTCTGATGCTGTGGTCATGCACTATCCCCTGGAAAAACGTGGAATATTTTCACGTGTTAGAGGGGAGCTTGGGCTGAAAGTTTTCCTCACTGATGATCCATCCATAAAAGCTTCAAACCCGCTACCAGCTGTGGATGCTTCTTTGAACAATGCTTCACCAGCTCAAGTTCATCAAGCACCAGCTCAAATCTTCAACCAAAACCCATACCCTCAAGAGATCAGATCAGAGTCTAGACATACTTTCCGTAGCATCCCTAGAGAGAACCAGCACCATCATCACCATAATCCCGCAGCAACAGTCGGTGGTGAATCTATGAGGTATATGGCTGATGAGATGAAACCTGCACCGCCTCCACCTCAAATTGTGAGGATGTACTCATCTGCGTCGTCAGCCCAACCAGTGGACTATGCTCTCAAAGAAACAAGCCCTTTCCTTGGTGGGGGACAGATTGTCGGTGGCCGTGTTATGCATGCTGACAAGCGATCTAGTACCTATGACCTTGTAGAGCGGATGCAGTATCTCTTTGTGCGGGTTGTGAAGGCACGAGATTTGCCTTCCAAAGATGTTACTGGAAGCCTAGATCCTTACGTTGAGGTACGGGTTGGAAACTACAAGGGAATAACAAAGCACTTTGAGAAGAAGCAGAACCCAGAATGGAATGAGGTATTTGCATTTGCCAGAGAAAGGGTGCAGACATCCGTTCTTGAAGTTGCTGTCAAAGACAAAGACCTGATGAAGGATGATTTTGTTGGGTTTGTACGCTTTGATATGAATGATGTGCCAACCCGTGTCCCACCAGATAGTCCTTTGGCTCCAGAGTGGTATCGTCTTGAGGATAAAAAAGGTGATAAGACGAAGGGCGAGTTAATGCTTGCAGTCTGGATCGGTACTCAAGCTGATGAAGCATTCCCAGATGCATGGCACTCAGATGCAGCAGCAGCAATTGATTCCTCTGCTGTGGGTACTCACATTCGGTCAAAGGTCTACCATGCGCCAAGGCTGTGGTATGTTCGGGTGAACATCATTGAGGCACAAGATATTATTATACCTGAGAAGACTCGATTTCCTGATGTCTATGTTAAGGCACAGATAGGGAATCAGTTTATGAAGACAAAGATTGTTCAGGCTCGTACAATGAACCCATTTTGGAATGAAGACTTCATGTTTG